TTGATTTTTAATACTATATAATTGTGTACTACGTAAAACTTTTTCAGATGGATAATATTTTGAAATAAATGTATAAGCACATAACCATATATCATGATTTTGATTATTTGTACATAATTTATTAAGAGTTTCCCATAAATAATCGAATATTAAACAAAAAAATGTTTCACGTAAATTAGAACGTGTCATATTTTCTTCATTGAATATATTGTCATAAGATAATCGTGTTGAATCAATACGATTAATAATTCGAATTGCTGAATACATTGATATAAGATCATTTTGTTCATATTCAAATGTTGTATATATATGTGCAAGAAGCCATATGTTTTTATTCGAATAACCATCTAATGATTGACGATCATTATCTTCTATATGTAATAACCAACGTGACACAAATTCAACTGCTTGTTGATATTGAATAAGATTATTATCAAAATTATTTTCAATCATAGTACAATATGTTCGAATAAGATCAGTTGAATAAGAATGAACAATACGTTCACAAATAATATCAGTTAGAACTTTATCATTTTGAATAGAAACAATTAATTGATGGCGATATTGTTCAAATGTATCTTGAGTCATTGCATGCTCATTTACATTATTATAATCTGCAGTCGTTATTCGTGGAGCAGAAAAATAATCTTGACCAAGACCATTGTCTTCTTGTGCTGCAGAAAAAATAAAGATTTAAATGACGACAATTTTCTATTTGTAGGATATTTCTTATTGTATAATAAATACCACTGCTATAAAACGAAAAAATGGCTCTTCAATACTAGGAATAGAACAGTTCAGTTCCCAGAAGCTGTTCAAACAGTCTCTTTGATAGGAATTGATCTGTTGTTTTTGGTCAGATTATTTCCAAATTAGAAAACCATTGTTCTGTTATTGAAATGCTGTTCCAAAAAGAATAGAAATTTTCGGAGAGCTCAGTCCGTAGAACTGAATTTTTGAAACAGTTCTTGTTATAAAAGCTGATTGTTTTCAACATTTCATCAGTTCATTTCATCTGAGCTTATGAGCTGGACCTGTTCTAGACCTACTCAACATCAATATTATTAAAACTTAACATGATCATTGTTTATTTATTGGACAAAATCAGTTTAAAAAAATATTCAACAAAAAGAACCGAAATATCTTTAACAGCAGTTTAGCACTATGAATCCTTTTATGAAACAACACGACCCATAAATGGTCATATACAGATATTTTACATACCGTTTCGTAAAACACGATCTAAAACAAGTGTTGAAGTATTTAAGCTAGAAATTTGCATCCATCTCCTGTACCTCTTGTACAATGTGACAAACGTTGTTAATAAACGATCAAGGACTGTATATCACTAACATCTCATTAGAATTTATGAACTACTTTCTTATGACATTTTTTGAAGGATTCAGTAAAAAAAAATGGTGAAAAAGCTTGTTAGCGCAGCCCCTTTGGGGCTAAAATGTGGAACTCACATATATTCTTCAGCTTCGTTATATTAATACAAAATACAGAAAGTGTAAAAT